AATATACACTACTGCCTAGAAGTTCATTCCCCTTAGACGCATGGGCAACGCGTTACGCAACCAGTGTGCATCGGGTTGGTCACGCGTGTGAGACCCGTGTGCAACGCGTTGCACACGGGTGTGCACCCCTATGCCACTCGTGTGCAACGCGTGACACACTCATTAGAGGGGGAACACACTTTTGACCAAAGGAGGACCCGTGTTAAGCTGAACCTGGAGGTGGTAACAAGGAGAGAAAATGATAATACACATGTATTTCCTAATGTCTCCTTTCTTTATGTGATTTTGTGGGAATAACATGAATACTGTTGCGATTAAATAGATCTGTTTTGTTTTATACGACCATTGCTTCTAAATCCGATGGTGTTAAGAGAATACATGGTCCTGGAACATGTTATTGCAATTGAAATGCTTTTATTGTGATTTGACATTAACCGTCTGTAGTACGACTTTCAGTGATAATATGTATGAGGTTTGGCGGCGCATTGTTTTTATTGGACCCTAATTACTTTATGATGACTTGGACTCTTTATCACAGCTCTTTATCACAGCTCCATTTTAGGCAGCTTCCTTGTTCGAGGAATGTATCCGTGAATATCCACACAAAGGAACAATATCACATTCGTCTGCAGCTGTACAAAGAAACCTATTCGATGTCACGTGTCTCTGTAACAATCACATATTTTAAAAGATATATATCGTTTCGGGATATTATAACCCATGTTCGTTTCTCAACTGATCACTTGGATTGTTTCAGGTGTTTCACATAGGTGTCAAGTCTCAAGGGTCGGCTGAGAAAGCCCACGTGACAACTATTTTCATAACGTCCACGGTTCCTAAAAAATCCATTGAGTGATAGATAACAATGATCAATCAATCAACGTATTATCAGTTAACCCTTTGAACAAAGTATGTTGTTTTTACATCGGCACTTCACGCCATGGTATGAGTGTATTCCCTTTGTTTTAGTAAACCTAGACATGTAAACACTCACTTTTGACATATCCACTGTGCAAGATAACAGTGATTAATCAATCAACGTATTTTCTGTTAATCCTTTGATGACCAGGAACGATCCGTTGATTTACAAAAAAAAAGTAAATGAACTGATCATTCATCTCTTGCTTGGCTGCCACGTGCATATTACATAACACACATTTCACCTCACTTCAAACCTGGATTTAGATTGAATAATTACCCCAGACACAATAAATGCCAAATGGGAACCTTTGTCAGGTAATCTATGTGGTGCTACCACTAATTGTGCCTGTAATAAATTCATTAACTGAGCATCAAGGGAATGACGACAAATACACAAGTGTAGGGTTAGACGAGAAAACGTGGATGACAACAAGGGAGTAGTAATCGTATTATCGACGCAATCCGAAACCCGAAAATGCTTTCACTGCATGGATACTTTTTTTAGTATTAAACTATAACCATCTGGGGTATTTCCAAATTACGACACCCGATGAGCTCCGCCGTTCTTTTTGTCTGTTTGTTTAGGCTGAAGAAATTAATTAACATGCGCCCTTTGTCGAAATCTTTATAGATCACAGTTAACCAATCAGTGTTTATGCAAAAATGCGTAAAACAAATATTGCCTCCAGCCTCCGAGTTCATTTAGCTGTCCTTGCAGACGGTAGCCCAGTCTCTGGTCACGCTCAGTTGCGTTGCGTATCATCCGGGTACTCACGGGGAAAAAAACAATAACAAAGGCAGCAACCAGTCCGGGGAATTGCGTTAGATCAGTGCCCCTTTAAGTTTCCAAACATTTAAGAAAATTATGACCACTAACAGTGTAAGAAATCTAAAAGGCCTATCTAAATTCCTTAACAATGTGTACAATACAATTGGTAAATTGTATTAGTATCCACGTATCCTATTTTTTATTAAATTGTACATAATAAAAATTGTACATAATTGTATATCATGTTATTCTAAGAATAAATGAGTTTGAGTCCGACACCCGAGAAGAAGCCAGAGATTAGTGCCCCTTTTTGAATAGTTTACAATCATGTGTTTTACGGTTAGCTGTGTTGGCTTAAACGTATTTTTATTTCAAAAGAAATCTGGATCGGTAAACAAGCAAAACTTGCTTATGTAATACCTCTCCAGGTAACAACTTAACAACAGCTGGATATATATAAGAGAGTGATGAACATAAACATACAAAATGCACAAATGAAATACACGAAGCCAATACACTGAAGCAAGTGGTGTCTGTAAAATAAGGTAATGCAGTTTTCCTTTACTACATGCATAAAATTAAGCTACTCAAACCTTTTGCTTTTGACAATGATGTCATGAACTGATTTAAGAAGAGTCATGTTTGTAGAACTGCTTAACTACTGCCATATAATATGATCATTTTTAGACCATACCCATGTGTGTAGAAATACACAGTGTTTCTGATATTATCGTATTTTTTAACAGTTATAGAAAAAGTGAATTGCATCTTCAAGGTGATATCCACAAGTGCAGTCTGGTATGTCTGATACATGTCGTCTAAACTTATCAGCGTTTAAGTCACTGCAGCCGAGCCTAAGGCGACAGTGGACAATTTGGCATGATCTATGAAAATATTTGAAGTCAAAATTATTAATAATTGCATCAGAACGATTAATTAAGGATTTGATTTCTTTTAATGAGCGAGCATTAGTTACTTCATCGGATAGAGGGTTCCGCAGGTTGATCATATCCAGAAGAAATGATAATAAGCATAGGACTGTGTTCTACATTTGATTGTTTGCATGTTGAATCTTTTTCTAAGGTTATATTTGCTGTTATCAGAGAATTGAATATACACTTTTCAAATATTTTGGCTAAGCAACTTGTGAGTGCTACAAGTCTATGATTTGAGCATTCATGTTCATCGCTGACACTGACACCGCATCAGCCCGGCAGTGGACTTGACACAATTATTTGCGCACCGATTATATAACTCCTACAGACAGGTGGGGTGGTTGTTCAAAGCGAAACGGACGACCCCGTCTGTTATCTAATAAATGCTGTGCGGCGCCTTTGATCTTGGGGGGTTGCACTTCTTTATTTAATCATTACGCTTTTTTACCCTAATAGTACAAGTGCTTCCCCGTGTGCGAGATAGGCTTAAGTCGGAAAGCGCACGTTAAATCTCCGAGGTACCTATCTACCAGAACTCTATTTGCTGTTCTGGCCATACATAAATATATGTAAGTTACGTACATGGGGAGGCTAGATTATTTACAGCTTACCGCAATATAGTGCAAATATTATGTTCAAAAAAAGAAAACGTTGATAGATCTATAACACACTTTTTGTACTATTAAACCAACTGTGGACTTTTAAGACATTTTCGCTTATTGTAATAACATCTAGCTAACCAATCATGTCTATCTCTGAAATCCACAAGCATAGTTGCTGTCAAACCTAAAAAACATATTCAGGGAGGTCAGTTTTGACTTGCCAAGCACCTTAAGGTGAGTTTATTTTTAAACTGTCAAAAGCGATTGTCCCTTCAATACTAGTATATGTCTGGAAGCTGTCTCTCGGACTGTTATGAGTTATGATGTATTTTATGATATAACTGGGGAATGTTCAAATTAGTTACTGTCATTTAATCCAACGTTCTAACTGTCAACTGTCTCAACAGGATCATAGGTTTGGTTATATATCTCCTCCCTGTCTCTATGTCTTAAGTTGTTAATCGGTAACTGCGGTCCAAATGTATCAACTTATTCATCTATTGTTGCAAACTTGACTGATTTAAACATATCTTATTGATCATGAACTACTCAGTCAGTCAAGCACCTGTATCAGAAATGTAAAACCAGCCATGTTTCATGTAGTCCCAATATCACTGAAAAATGCCGATGTAACGTGACAAATAAATTTACTCACAGACAATATATTTTTCGTGAGAGTGAAGCACAATTTTATTGAAGTTTTATTAACAATTTCATAAAATATAATAATATTAATATTAAAATTCATCATCACTTGCCAAGTTTATGAAAATGTCAAAGAAGGATTAAAATCCTAAAGATATCCTATCTACGTGGAATAGGTACTCACAACCTCTAATAATAAACTGTTACGTTTGGTATCCCCAGCAATACTCACAATGGTCATTGGGCAAATGTAAAAATCACAAACCCTAACGAGATTCTGTCTACATGGTCACACCCGGTGATTGTGAAGATCTCAAATTTTATCAACTGTCAGACAGCATGGCTGTTCATATTCATTTACAACATCCTCTTATAATTAGTATAAAAGTGTCCCACACAAAACCTTCTTTTATTTATTTTTCAAAATACAACACAGAAAGTGGGGTGTGGGGAAATGGGACATATTCCTACGTGAAATAATGAGACATTAGTAGTGGTGACGGCTATGTCATAATTGAACTGTCTAAAGCATAAATTTGGCGAACGAAAAACGTTATATTTGCAATCAAATGGAATGACTCGTGTGGGCAAATGAATATGTTCGCAATCCACAAACAATTATTTTATTAATGGCGAACATTTACCAACCCGCGACAATCGTGTCAACACGGGGGTTCCCTTAGCAATAAACTCGCATCTAAATTCACTACTGTTCTACTGTCGGCTAGCCACAATGGCTAGACTGGACCCTAGTGGAATGGTTCATGCCATAAAAGTCTAGCAACCGAACACTAATTAAGATGGGCCGACCTTGTATTTACGGTCTGGTGAACACAGCTCAATGGCCGCTCATTAACTCAAATTTCACATCTCACTGTTTTGTTTTATCTCACTATTCATTTGATAAATTTGTCAACTTCAACTGGAACCCGGTCCCGTGTTACACGCGTGGCACACGCGTGTGCAACGGGTTGCACACGCGATTCACACCCGTTGCACACCCGTGTCCAACGGGTGCTCACCCCGTGTGCAACCCGTTGAGCACCCGTGGCACATGCGTGTTACACGCGTTCTCAACGCGTGTTGGGGGAATGAACTTTTAGGCAGTAGTGTATGCTGTGATCCAGTCGACCAACCATTAAGACACCAAGAATGAGCCCTTGTAGAATTCTCCAGAAACACGAAAATATTCCAATGGCCAGATTTCCGAACAAGGCGTAGTAATTAAAGCATTCATAAAAGCGCCTGAAATTATATTGAATTTTCATGGAAGTTACCTTCAACATGTGATTTAATGATCTGTAAATGGATCTGTTCATGATCAGGTTATTGGAAACACTGTGTCGGCCCTAAAAAACACGTTTTCGTGGTATGGTTTGATTATTGTTATAAAACCTATCGCTTCCAAATACTCCAAGAAATGAGCCGCACACATTTTACTCATAAAGGGAATCAAACCCGGACTTTCGGCGTGACGAGCGAACGCTAGGCTCCCCCCAAATCCCCACTTAGACAGTCACGGGGAAAGAGTTTAAAACAACTCTAAACTCTAGTGAGTGAATATATAATGTTGTACGCCACAGTCAACAATTTTTGAGTGGGTGACATCCTAAGCACAACCATCCAGGCCACACATTGTGTCCACCTGGTCCTGATTAATTTGTCCCTGATTCACCACAGGGTCTCTGAAAAGTAAGGTTGAGATTACTATTGAGACTGAAACTGTTACAGTACCTGTTGTCCACATTTAGAGGAGGTGTGTCATCTGTAACCTTGATCTTCTCTTGCATAAGTACACGTTTGGCAAGGACAACTTGTAGATAGAACAACAGCAACGCCATGGCTGGAACACTTGTACAAAAAACAACTTTCAATAACTTTCAATAAATCAAAACTCCTGAAAGTATCAATATGTCAGCTTAATGTTTACAAACATTTTAGTGTTCTTCTTTAATGTTTATTTGAAAAGCGCCACTTGGCATATTCCTTATCCATCATGGTCATGTGTTTGTGAGATGGTGATATAATTGCATAAATACATATTGTAATTGTCAAATACGGAATGACTTTTTACATTTCAGAATTAGCTATGGTGTTTTTATGTCTTTTTTAATATGACAACGTTTGTACCAACGCCCATAGCGGTGTTTTGTAGTGTTGATTGGAGTATACATAAAAGCAGTTATTCATATACATGATGTATATTATGTATGTCCAAGTATGTTTTTTTTCAATTGAACAAAGTATACACCTTTTTATATGAACACATCTCATAATTATCACACCGATTTCTCCCCGTGGGGATTTCTTGTCACCAGCAACTGATGCTGGACGTAAGATGCGGCCAAATGAATCGGGTAGTCAGGCTCGGTGATTAGGTTGATAGCGTGTCATCGTACCCCGACGGTGTAAATCGTTGCACATAAACGTCATATCATTGCTTGTTCAGACTCGCCGCCATTTCATGCTGCCATCATACAGCTGGGATATTGCTGATTGCGGCGTTAAACAACAAACACAAAACAAAAATTATACAGAATCATGAAGAGGCCGTAAAGGACATTTAACATTCCTTGTCCTTTGTAACAGCGATTATGGCACTGTTTTTGGCACATGTGTTGACAAGAATCTGTAGTAAACTACCTTAATCTTTGCACTGTAGTGTTCACACAAGTAGATGTACCTTATTGTTTGTAACAGCGATAAAAGAACATCTGTCAGGATGTGATTGATAATGGTGAGATATATCACGTAGGTGAGCATCAAGCCCACGACCAAAAGTGCAACAAACAGCAGGCCAAACCCTGCAAAATAGAATACACACAATTAATCAATTGATTTACAATATAAGTATTATGGAGAACATTATTATTTGAGTGCATGTATGTGACAGGAAAAACAGTGAAACCTCGCTAGTCCGGACCCCGTTAATCCTGAAACGTCACCTTCTTGACGATCTTGTTCAATGATCCGGTTACATGACATGTATACAAAGTGATTTCAGTACCAGAGATGCGTTAATCCGGACAAAAAGGGTCCGGAGGTTTAAAAATCTTACTACCATTAACTTGAAACCGCATGTCATATTATCCACCTTACATTTCGATGTGCTTCAGCATCTAGACCTATCCGATATTGCTGCGTAACATTTAGGAAAAATTAAACATATCAGTGACTAAAATAATTTGAAGCTGTTACCCTACAACATGTATGCAACTTGATATCCAGGAAAGCGCATGCTGCTGGCCTGAAAGCAGAAAAAGGAAAATATACATTCTTCTTTTCAAATAAACCATTGCGAAAATCACGTTAATATAACCGGTACCAGGGCCCGTTTATCAGGGCACACGCCTTCAGGGTGATGTCTGTTGCAAAAAGGACGAATAAGGACCAGGGTCCTTTTTGGTCAACTGAAAAGTTAAAAATTGTCAGATGATCAATATTATTTTATGATTGTACTGTCTTCGTGTACAATTGCAACTCCTTAGAAAATCGCCTTGGCCCAAGAATTTTGCCGATCCTCAATTATTAGAATAAAACGCTTCTTGAAAACTGAACAGATTTTACTCTCATATATTCCATGATGTTAGTAATGTTATAAATCCCAAACATGCAAGTATTGACATGAATAACGTCTTATTCTCCGTCATAGCAGCACAATCAATAACTTTCATAATGATTAATATAATACTTTCTGGAATAATTATAATGCCCCCATAATGCTTCCCGGGGGCAAAAGTGCCCTTATCAAACCTTGTTTATAAGTAAAATTAAAGGGACATCACAACGTAACGAAATTAATATTTCTTTGATTCGTAAATGGGTCTATCCAAACGATTTCACTTGGAACGGTATAGTCCGAATTATGATTTTCACTACATAAGACCCACTAAGCTTTGAATATTCGATTACTTTAAGTCTAGATATAGGTTCGACTACCAGATACATAATCAAGGGTATTGACTGAGTCAAATGTCTGTCAGCGAGTGAGTGGGGGTTTATGCCGAATTAGCAAAAGTGCCCAAGAGATAATCCGACAGGATTTTAAGTATACCCACGTCGGGAACTCTGGTAATTCGCCTGATGAGCGAACGCTTTATTTATCCTTTATTTCCCCCACGTCCTTAAAGAGTTGAAGCATATAAAATCAAAGCTAATTATCCATTTACATCATTTTCATCCATTCATATAATTTTCACTGCTGTTTGCCTTTACAACGCAATAGGAATTACTTTATCGGATAATATACTGATTATTCTCTGGCGTTGACGTTATATTTTACTATTATATTGGCAGGGCAATACTGCTCATTGAATATAAATAGGACCTAGAAAGTATTCAATTGCGACCATCCTTCTCAGTAGGTATAATGTTAATAAACATGCCATCATTATATGTGGTTTCGGCAGTTGATCGAGAATGAAACTCTTGTTTCCCCGAAACATGCGCAGCAAATGACGTCTGTAAATAGAACAGGATCATGATGGTCTTCAAATGGATTAATGACAGCTAAATCAGTTTAATTGGATTGACAGGAACGCATCGTTTACCTGTAGCCCTTCATAAACAGGTAGATGTAGAATGCAGTGACTATCACACATACGATCGTTGTGATGTAGAACACGCCTGCAACATGGGAAACAAACTGCGTCAAATTCGCATCAGGAAGACAATAATTGATTATTGCTTAATACTAAGCATATTCCTACGAAGTATTCATATGTGTAAAACGGGTTCTTCAAAATAAAACATTCAACACATGGCAAAAGAGAGACATGTGAGGATAAAATGGTTTAAATACGACAATATATAAAGCATGTAAACACAATGTGTCTGTTAAAAATTGTATCACATGTGACCATTACTAATCTGAATGTGTCATGTAGGCTTTAGACTTACAACAAGGTTGCTTAGTAAGTCCATACCTTTTGTCGTTTTCCGTTTAAAAACTGTTTGTAAAGGTACGCGAGGCGTACATATATTTGCTAGGTATTGATGAAATTTTGATGGTACTGGTGTTTGCTGATATCATTCCTTCTCAATAAATGTACTCGAGTTTGTTTTTTATTTTGACAGTTAATCTAAACAAAACATGGCTTAAAACCTGTTAACATATGGGCATAACATTTTCTTGTACACTCCGTTTTATCTTCCTTCAACATATGTACATCTGATTTAGTCACCTGAGAATAAAAATTCAAAATTAACCGACTATGATAGATAATATAGAAACCTCTGTGTGATACTTCAAGTATTGGGTGTCCAATCGCAAAACATAAAATATAATTACTTGTGTAATGCCAGTTTCATAAACGCTAAAGTTAGATTGGTTTCCCAAAACGACGATAATTGGTTATTTCAACTGAATAATATTGAGCTTAGAACATGCGCTTAAATACGTATTTTTTAAATATACAGAGTTATTAAATACATGTATGTTTATACACACGTGGGATTATAAATGAATTCGAGCTCAAGACATGTGCTGTATATAGTGTATGAATGTCAATTAGAAGGTGAAAAGAATTTTCCATCATAACAGAAGAAACTCTTAAAAAACCCTTTCTTATATGTTTAGACCTGAGATAATGAAGACAGTTATAACTTAAACACATAGAAAAACAAAGAGAGGAAGTTATGTATGTACATTCTCCTTTGAGGATGAAAACAATATATATCGTATGATATAATTTAAAAAATCAACACCAGAGAATAATCAGTCTCGATTATCTGTCGCAACAGATTCAATTGGTGGTACATGTTAAAGGTACGGGTGTCCTGCTCTACGATAGGATCCGTCAATATATGTGCTAATGTAAACTATATTGTAAAACTATTTCCCGCTATATACACTTGCCTGGTCAAGTTTCTGTTTGCAGTTACCCCTTTACGTACACATAATAATGCATCGCACTTGCAAGAGCCGACATACACATAAACCTTCTATTGTACATGCGCATTGGGCAACAACCAAATGAAACGCAACATTCACAGCGGAGGAGATACGTCATCCAGAAATTCTTATGAAGGAAGGGAGGCATTATTTGGGGTAATGAGGATTAAACAAACTCCCTACTACTTTTGTGCATGTCACATCAGTCAAATGAATGTTTCATACAATTCTCACAAGACAGCACAAACAATCATCGATCAGGTGTGTTGGTAATTATTACAAGTGTTACTAGGAGGTCATTTGGAGTCGTGAAACAATAAAGAGAAGAATATTTCAAAAAGCGAACGAATAGCCCACTCCACAGTGTCATACCTGGAAGTAGATCAAATACAACTGGTGTCATCAAATAAAACCTGGTTTCACCGACGGGAATTGAAAAATTCTGACCGACGAAATAAAACTCTGACAAGTCGGTAATTAGAGAACCAACCAGAAGCAGGGCCAATCCAAGCTGGAAAAGAATCAATTTAATTATGTACATGCTCACATTCAAAACATAATTATGAAACGAAACCTAAGTTTAAGTTATAAATCTCTGTTTTCTGTGTGTCGACAACGTGGCGTTATTTCAACCCTGACATATGTGATTATAGTGAGTTTGGTTTAACTCCGCTTTGAACAGAATTTCAGGTACTTATAATGTGGGGAAAGTGGCCGAAGTGATGCAGATCTGTGGAACTAACATACTGGTGAAACACATGCGTCGTATATGTTACTGCAAATCATAATCAGGGTGAATTGTTGGATCAACCATATGAGGCTAAGGGAGACAACTCTACATTGCGGCGCTCTAGACGTCTTGCCCACCATGCCCCCATATATGACGATTGTGATGATGGTAGCAACGGGGACCCTTTGAATTCTTGGATTTGCCGAGGGCTTCCATGTTGTTTCGAATGTGAACATTTTAACTATCTTCTTCATACACACATACATGTACACTTTAACCAAATAACAAGACATATATGAATTTCAAAATTAATGTACACTTTGGTATCAATAAGGGCGGCCAGTGGTTAAAGCATTCGCCCGTCACCCTGAAAGCCCGCAGACGAGTCCCTAAAAGGGTACAAAGCGTGAAGCATATTTCTGGAATATTCCTGTAAGCGGCGCAAAACCATACTCACTCACAGACCCTACGTGGGTACTCTGGGGAGTAATTGGATGCAACGATCATATGTATGATGATGACTGATCATAAATGAAATGGTTGAAACTTCCACCCGGGTGTTAGTGGATGTAGTATTCACTGGTTTTAACAGCAACCCGTGTGTGCCCAGGTGTGGCATTACGTTGTTTCAACGTCCGCCGCTCTACTGGTATAATGAGGTTTTAAATGAATAGACGTGGTATAATTAAACTATACATGGGTTCAAGATGACCGTATTCTACTTACTCTGTATAGAAGAACTAGCAGTATGAAGGCTACATATATAATTCGTACAGGGTATTTAAATCCAGGCACGGATCTGTAGATCAGTTTATCACAGGTTGTCGTCTCTATGCTGAAATACAGTGTTATACAGTGCGCAACATCACGGTAGTTTGAAGGCTACGTTGCACAAATATGAATTAATTTGATTACTTTTTTAATCAGAAAACCAAAACTGTCAGTGATTATTTATTCTAATAAATGCTACAGATCTGCGTATTATAAATTACGCAACGCTGATTCTGTTCTGCTGCCACTAGATGTTGTAGTTTGATAAAGCGCCAGTTTTGCCTGTTACTATCATGCAACAGTTCACGAAAATGCTACATGTCCACATGTCACTATGCTAGCTATGGATTCATACATGCCAGAAGAATGATACAGTTACAAATGCATGTACCACTAT